CGCAAGGCCAGTATGATACCCACTTATGCTGTACCTGCTGAAAACCAAGCTGCAACCCTGATCAGAAATGGCCTGGGCCTCGGACAAGAGGGGCAGATCGAAATCATTGCAATGAACATGAAGAGAGGTTGGTGGCGACGATACTCGAGTAATTCTTATGACGTCCTTGACTTGGAAAACTTCGTTGATGCCATCAAACTCGGCGAAGGTTCCAGGTCAGCCTTGCCCGATGGCTTTGGAGCATCGACAGAGAACTTTTCGGATCCTGAACTCCCAGAGACGATGAAGGCCACTGAGCCTATCGAGACAGCCGATGATAGTGAAGATCTTGCCGACCCTGAGCCAGAACAGAGTCCAGATCCCGAGGCCACTAACACTGTTATCAGTGCTGCTGCCCCAGAACCTGAGCCCGAAGAGAGCCCGAGCGCAGAGCATGATGAACTCTGATGGTGAAACCAAAAAGACTTTCACTTTTCCGGCATATCTCAGGTTAACTACACTCAAGTTGTGCGTCATGGATTCTCTGAATCGCACGTCCTAGTGAATCTCATCGAGCTGCTAAATCACAAATGTTGTCCTTCGACATCGCTCTCTTCTCTAATTGTTCTCTTACCTCAATCTCTTCCCAAGTTTCTCCTCCATTCTCTCATCTTTCACTTACCATTCTCTTCAAATACTCACTCTTTTGAAATGGGTTTGAATGACTTTCATTCTTCCCTTCAACGTCCAAGCGTGCCCTAGGCTCCTACTGCCATCTGCCCTGCTGCTGCCGCAAGTCGCTCCTCACAACTTCCCTTCGACTTCTGGTATGATTCATTGCGAATTCTGGCTTTGAATTATGGGCTCTAGTCATTCTCTTGCCCTCGATATATTGGATGTTAACATCTTGCCGCACCACCAGCTGACGCTCTACCTCAGGGAATGGAGACCTACTCGCAGCCTGCAAGCACAGCCATGCAGTCACCGACACAGTCCCCGCAGAATCGTGGTGCGAGGGTCGGAACAGATGTCCATCCCGAGCAAAGACACGTTCTTGAAGTCGGAATCATCCGAGAAGAGGTCGATCAAGTCAGAACAATTGCCGGGATGACTGACACATCGTCGGCCCCAGATCGAGATGATTTAGCAGTCCCCGACCTTGTCGCCACCATCACCGAACAGCCCCGGATCAATAAGCCCCAGATTGAGACGATGGAAACAACTTATAAGAACTCCCGCGCTGCGGTCAGAAAGGATCTTCAGTCTGGTTACTTCGAGATCCCACCATTCGTATCCACCCAGAACATCGACGACCCTACACAGGAACCCGTGAGGTACCAGTTCCCTCCAGCTCTAATGCCATCCGGGTCCCGATCGCAGCACCGGCGACGGTTTGATCGATCAGCCCTTCTCCCTGATAGCAATCTTCCCTTCTGTACACAGGTTATGGAGCACGTGAAAGACTGGGCGGAATGGGGAACAAGAATTCGAGACGAACAGAGACGGAAGGAAGTCCTCGATCATGTTTTTGATGTTTTATCAAAGGCCTGGTACGAGGCATTGCGTTTGGGCTACAATCCTGGTACCACCCCCACAAAGGGCGGAGCACCTCAAGTTTCCAGCAAGCGCTCTGTACAGCATGAAGACGAAATCCCCGCTAGATTGCCGCGCGGAAAACCTCGCTCAAAAAGAGATATAAGTCCGACCAAAATGCCTGTCTTGGTTGCGAGCCACAGACACGGTCCAGCTTGGGCAGTCACAGCTGGTGAACTCGAAGAAGTTGGTATTTCTGAAAGTAAGCTACGAAGACGGGCAGCTGCAAAAGACTCTTTGGGAGCTGTCGAGGAACTTCTGGGCAAAGTCCTCGAGGACTATGGGGGGGAAATCCAGCCCAAGGATTGGGACCACATCATGGATGTGACGCGACTAAACCCTATGGGACGAGATCTCATGGTTTATTGCCTGTATGAGGTGCTAAAGAGCCGCGATAACCTCAAGCTGCTTCAGAAATACTACAATCACTTCAACACTGTCAGGCAGAAGGGAAACACCAAACGACGTATCGACGAAGAGCAAGAACGTCATGATCTATTTGTGGCTCTGGCGTTGGAACTTGACGAGGAAAACCCTTCGCCAGGAGATTCGACCGCGTTTGATTCTTCGACCAGTTGTGAAGGATCAGCGGATGGTGTGCCTGCGACAACTAAGGATGAAAGCCTAGTGAGGCGACTCGAGGTACTTATTTGCCTGATTGGGGGGGTTCTTGATGCGACTGATGTCTCTTCCATCGCCTCCAGTTTCGAGCACTCTGGGGTTTCTCGGGACGATCTTTTCACAGAAGCCTCGCCTGTGGGTACGTCGAGAGGTTTCGGCCAGTGCAAGCACATTTTGTGGGATATGCAGCCAAATGTGCAAGAGTGGCTCAGATTGTCCAAGATCGCGGAGCTGGCTATTGAGCAAGATGGAAACGTTGATCTGCGTGCACAGATCCGGAACCTGGAGCTGAAGATACTGGACCAAAAAGAGACACTTACGAGCCGCGCTCCTTTTCCGACGGCCAAGCAAATTGCCAGCACAAGAAGTGATGATAGGATCAACGCCCGCACCGAGCACTTTTCTGACACTACTAGCACCTCTGCTACATATAGGGTTGGTTCACCGACGGCGGAAGATGTGAGTAGAGTGTCGTCCGACAACACCGCAAAGCACCGTCTCGATATCACCGATGAAGAGACTGCATTACCACCCACGAAGAAGCCAAAGAAGGACCACGAGAGAGGAGTTGTGGACCACCCTATTCCCATGGTGGATGAGGAGCAGATGAATCGCAACAGTCATAAAGCCGCTACACCAAATAACAAGGACGGGGCGCGCATTTCTTGTGGCAGCCCTTCTGAGATAGCAAGCAGAGAAGCACGTCGTGACGGCCGAGTCAGGCTTCACATCCCGCGACACTTCAGACCAGACGATTTCACGACCAAGAGAGTCTTCTGTCATCCAAAAGGATTCAGATTCCGCTTCACGGCTGAATCGACCTTGTCTCAGCGAAGGTCGTTTGAAGAAGCACTGGAGATGTATATAGAGTCTTCAGTTGAGAATCGCAAGGAGCACATCTTCGGCCGGTATGAGGTTGTTGCCGATCCAAACGATCCTGGAAGGACACCGGTTGTCCATGGTGTCTGGGATCTGGAGAATGGAAGCGAGCCGGAGGGATTCGAATGGTTCTACCAGGGTGACGGCACATATCCTGTCACGGAGAAGGAGATATCTCCACTTCGGGATGCAAAAGACAAGGAAGATCTGCCTGCCCCGGCACCACAAAACAAGAAACCTGTCGTGATTTTGAAGTTGAAGAATCGCATGCAACCGAAAGTCTCCGATTCACCAGCCGGTGCTGCCACTGGCACGGTAACCAGCTCAGTCATCAAACCCACGACTATGGCAGGTGCACGAGACAAGAACAAGAAACAAAAGACAGACAAGCACAGACGAGTGCGCTTTACCGTGGAGCCGCCAGCTGTTGCGTACGCCCATTCCCAACAGTCGACCTCGGACCGACCGAAAAGAAGGGCCGTCTCAAAGAAGTCGTCCAAGTGACGATGATTACCTCCCTTCAGACTGATAACATGCTGTGTCATTTCGTGCAGAATGTGCTCAACAGCTGGACGATGATGATGATGATGATGATGATGATGGATGATTTTTGTCTGCTGCTGAATTGGTGGTGGTGGTGGCGTCAGCTCGCCATCGACGACCCACTCACTCACTTCATCATGGTCGAAGGGTGTCATGTCATGTCAGCGACACTCATCCTGGTGGCAAATCGAAAGAAAAGCTTTCAGACTGCTCGGCCGCCTTTGCCGCCCTTTTTGTTCGTGGAACACACACAATCCACCTCTTTTTTGACTTTTCTCACCCGCGGGGCTTGCTTATTTTTTGTGAAGATGGAGAATAGGTGACAAGGGAGGCCGGTTGGGTACTGGGACTGGGACTGGGACTGGGACCTGGTTCTGCTTCTGCTTCTGCATCTGGCATACCGTGCAAGTCACAATTCTGCACACACGACATTGGGAGATATGATGATGATTATGATGATGATGATGATGCATATTGATTAACGTGGCACTTGCTTGGGACAAGACTGAGACCGGACGAGCCTTGGGTTTCTTGTTTTTTTTTTTGGCTTGGTTGCTGTGATGTCGCCGTCTTCTTCATCATGAGATCAGTCGACGTCGAAAGGGAATCTAAGCTACGATACGATATGTTTTTCTCCATTCCCTCTCTACTGGATACATACTAGGTGACCCCCCCCTCTCTTTTCTTTTCTCCAGGTTCTATGCAACGCGGAGATAGAATCGCGAGAGAGAGAGAGAGAGAGAGAGAGAGAGAGAGAGAGAGAGAATAAAATATCTGGACTGCAAGGAAGCAAGATGGATGGATAGTGGACTTTGTGACTCGTGGCTTGAGATTCTTAGATACAAAGATACCTAGGTAGCATACACAGGTGCATGCACACATGCATAAAGATGCTTTTGTTCACTCTTACTTGCGCTTTCCCCGGAAACTATTTCTTATCCTGGGACTGTCTCGTGTCGTGCCGTCTCGTGCTCTGCAGTCGTGGTGCAGATAGATACAATACTACTGGACTGGCTAGGGGATGTAACTTTGTAAAGCACCGGGGGATTGGGGATTGGGGACTGGGGGTTTGATTACAAAAAAAGACGAACAAGAGGCAAGAGGCAAGAATTAAAAGTCAAGCATTGTGATAATTTTTGTGACAAAGGTTGACTGACACTTGAGTCTCGAGTCTCGAGTTCGACCTGACCTCGCAGTTTGGTGTTACGTTAGCCTTGCGTTCAATTAAATGGCCTTTTTCTTGATGAAGATGCTCTCGTCCGGATCTTGGTCCTGGTCCTAGTCCTAGTCCTAGTCTTGAACCCTTGTCAAAACGCCCATGCATGACAAGCGAGATAGATCTCTCCAGGACAAAAGCAAGGTCGACGTGAGAGGGAGGAAATCAATCATGCTTTTCTTCTTCTCTCCTTATCCTTGTCCTTTGTCTTTCCTGTCTTCTTCTTCCCTCCTCCGCTCCCCTCTATCCGGCCTCCTTTCTTGTCTTTCCGCCTCTTCTCCCTGTTGTGATCACCACCTCGAGCGGCGGCGTCTTCGTCTCCTTCTCCACCATCACCTTCCGAGTCGTCAATCTTCCGCTTTTTCACTTTTCCACCGGCACTTTTGATGCTCACGACGGTGCTGTTGCCGGCTTCGCGGACCTGTCGTTCGGCTTGCTCCCAGGCCCGGTCGTCTGCGGCGTTAGTGGTGGAGATTTCGTACCTGGATCGATCGAAAGTCTTATTAGTTCAGAGTGTACATCTCTCTCGTGTCTCGTCATCGGTTGTCTTGACATTGGGTTTCAAGAAGGGCCTGCGTAGGGGGGAAATGGGAAAGAAAAGGCTCACGAGGATTGGGTAGATAGGGAATGGGATTGAGGTGCTGTGTGTATGCGGCAAGATACTGAAAGGGACTCACTTGTCAAGCGGCAACGCATCGATCATTGCCCTTTGTTTCTCTCGCATTTCTGGGTCGACTTCTTCCTCATCTTCTTCCCCACCGTCATCACCATTCGCAGGGCCCAGAGGTGCAATGTGTACCCTGCCACCGCTGGGGTTTGAGTTGATTGCCGCCTCGCTATTCGTTTCGATCTCTTTCTTCTCGCTCAAGCTCGCCTCCACCTCGCTGCTCAAAACTGCCCTCAATGCCGTGCTGATCTTCCTGACCACCTTCACAAACATGGCTAACAGCTGGTTGCTCGGCAAGTTCAGCTCCTTTTCCACGTCACTGAGGTCCTTCCTCTGCAACCCGATTGCCAGTAGTATACTCTGCTGCACTCCAGACAGACTGACGTTGCAAGGTGGGAGCTTGAGGCGGCCAGTAAAATAGAGGTAAGCGAGGGCAGGTAGCAGGTCGAGGATGACATGGTAATCAAGCAGGTTGTTGGCGTATGACTCAAGACGGGCAAGATCAAAAGGCGAGAAGTGGGCGTCAAGATCGGCTTTGGTGAGAGGTTTCACATTCGTCGAGGATGACTCGTCAGGGCCAGATTTGGTGGCTCGCGAGGCGGACTCCGAAATAGACAGTCCTTGGACCGAAGGAAAGGTGCGGAATTGATAGGACAGCAGAGTAAGAAACCGTTTGTGGAAATCTTGCGCATAAGCCGCCAGCCACGAGTTATCTGTGGTTGTGCTTGTCGAAAGAGGCCGGAGCATAACGCAGGAATGCTCGCCCGTCAACTCGTTAGGCGTTTGCCGCAGATACACGGGTGCGAAGGAATGTCTTTTCCAGAATTTATGGAGTGGCTGTGTCAAGCCAAACGAGACACCGAGATAGTCTAAGCGGTCGGGTCGTCGTTCGGAGAGTTTGCTGAAAAGTGGCGGCATTTCGTGTATATCGCGTACTTTGATATTGTCATCGAGCAGATTGGATTCTTCGAGTTCGGCGTCCGTGACGCGCGGCATGTGCTCTGCATCCTCTATTGTGGTCTCGTCCGTCTCAGACAAAGAGGTGAACTTGCCCTCGTAAAAGTCCCTCAGGAGCTCCAGTGCCCGTGACCCATAGCCCATATTCAGGTAATCCGGGTTCGTAGCAATTCTAACAACGCGGCTACCGGACAGTCCGGCAAATTCCGAGTCCTGGAATTGTTGACTGACCAGCCAGGGAATCAAGTCACCCCCTGCCCTCTGACCACGGGACAAGCTGCTCAGAACCGACTTTTTGCTGATCCGACCCTCGAGAGCGACTTGGATGACACACAAAGGCTCCGGTAGTTTGTTTGCGTTCTCAGATATCGGGGGGATCAGTACAAAGAGTTGATGTGCTGGGGCGTCAGACATGAGTTGAAGATCATTGGGAGAATTCTTGTAATGCGACGCAACATAAAGCGCCATCATTTGTTGCAGGAACTTTTCGGAAACAGGATGAAAGGAGAAAAGCGTATCACGGTTGACATGGACCAATTCACATGTTGACGGATGAGGCGTCCCTTGGGTATTCATCTTCGACTTGGGCAACGTGGCGTCGAGACATAATAGCCGATTCAGCCATTTCTCAACGCCATCTCCGGGTGCGTAACGGATAGGTTCTGACAGCGTGATCTCTCTCAAACTTCTTCCGCCGGTGTAGACTTTGGCGCCATCCTTGGCTGCCTTGCCTGTCGCCTTGTCTGCAACCTCGACATCGTCTCCATTAGTGCTAGGTCCACCCCTAGACTGCTCTCGTAGTTGTTGGATGAGTTTCAGCGACAGCGAACGGCCAGTTCCCTCGTAGCCATTGATGGTGGATGCCATGAAGACAAGATAAGGCCCCATCAATTTCCGTACCAGCGGCAAAGGAATTGCTGCTGCTTCATCGATGACCACCAGTTCTGCTTGACCGAGGACATGGGCATCTTGAGGTTGAATATACTGGATGGTTTGCCGATGTTGCCGGTGGACGTTGATCCGTACGATGGCTTTGTTGTAATCCGGATTTGTTGATTGCAAAATCGTATAGTCGACATGATCCATATATTCTAGGGCGTCGAAGCCTTTGATGACAAATTCAAACAATGTCTTCAAATTTTCAGGACTTGGTGAGGTGATGAAGATGTTGCTGTAGCCATGAGCTATTGCAGCAGCAACGGCCACTCCAAGAGCTGCTGATTTCCCTCGGCCTCGAGCCGCAGTAAGTGTGACAGTACTCCGGAGGGTCTTCTCTGATATCGCATCGACAAAGGTAAGAAGAGCCTTCGCTTGATCGACAGTTTTGGCAAGAGTAATCAGAGGTCCGACTGGTCTGCTGTCCGCCAAACTGTCTTTGATTTCCTTCAACTCCTTCTGATTCGGCAGCACACGTTCAGCCTCACTACTCGGTGGGGGCAAAGGTTGGACATTCTTTCCTCCGGATATGGGCAGAACATTGAGCTCGTCATCCACCACCAAGCAAGATTCGCAATTTCCCAAAGAGAGAATGAACCTCTCATTGAATCTGGCCACCACATCATCATGGGCTTCTGTCCGATATCTCGAATGTACATCCATAGACATTGTGTATAGCTGCTTCAGACTTTTCATTCCTTTCAGCAGGAGGAGAACCAATCCGCCGCCTTCAACCGTTTCCACAGTTCTGGCGAGGAGATTCGGTGTTATGGCCTCGAAATCCTGAAGAATACACATACCATATGTGTTACCAAGGATCTTGTCCGTCTCTTTGTAGTAAACATATCGAATATTGTGCAACGTGACGAACAGCTCGAAAGGATCTTCAGTGTCCGGGTCTCGAATGCCTCGTTTGATTTCCTTCCTGATTTTTGCTTCGCGCTTTTTTCGGTGGGACGTGAAACCTAGGAGGTCTTTTTTGTAAGCCCACAAGACAGATCTATTCTGCTTGATATCGACCGAGGACATGATATAGTGCAGGTGGACAATAACATCTTTTGCTCGGTCGCCCACCACGACGATGAAACTGCGCTTCTTTTCCTGAATGCCATTGCGGATCAGCGCTGGGATGCGGGAGTCGATGGCTTTTCGAGGCATCTTGGATCTCTCCCGGCCCCCCTCCGCTCGAAGCTTTGATGTAGGGAGAGTGAATTCTCAACTAGACACCGTCAGTCCTAGGGATTTGTCTAGTAAGAAAAAGTTCAGAAACATCTCCAAAAATTTCGCCGCAGTTTCCTATCGGAGACAATGTGGGGTGGCCACCTGTGGCTACCTGTAACACCTTGTGGGCTCGTGGGGTCCAATAATTTAGGCGCAAGGGGGCGAGGCTATCCTCAATCCTCGACAGCCTTGCGACCCAAGCACCAAGACCCAAGACACCCAAGACACCCAAGACACCGGACACCCTAGCCTCGTCTCGAGTTTAACACCCTGAACACAGCCCGATCGCCATTACCTCGTACTGTTTTGCGCATCAGAAATCGCTGCAACTGCGCAATAGTCAATGATCCTCATTCATTAGAGCGCGCTGTGTTCGTGATGTCGCGCGCTAGAGGAATATTGTCCATGCGATATAGTCTCTCAACACAGATCTATTTGAGTCTCTTGCTTTGACATTTCGTTTAGGCGCAAGGGGCGCGGTCGGTCATCATGGCGACAAAACTCGATGTTCTGTGCTTCTGGTGAGCATCTGTCGCTTGGTATACTGGCAGATACTGACTGCGATAGCCTATCATTGCTGTTGGCAGCATCCCTAGCACACCTTGTCCCGCTTTCGACTGCTTTCGACCGACCCGTCCACACTGTGATCCTTGCGCTAACGGCTTGTTCGTTCGCTTTACCGAGTGCCAGTCGGGCAATACCTCAGTTGTTCCCGTCTCCAGATGCAAAGCAAAATAAAGGCCAGTATACGGCGGTGCCTTTGGAAGAGCTTGGGGAGGAAGCCAACGGAAGGCTGGAATACCTGGAAACAACTTCCGCGCAACACAAACACACTGGCAAGGTTCGCGTATCGGTACTGGCCCTAGCAGTTGCTGCCCTGTCCTTGCGCATAGAGGTCTATCGGCGCATTTCACTGGCTACGGAGTGCACCATCGCCAGTGTCGAAGTGTTTCTGCCATTCTTAGTGGCAGTCTATGATTGTATTAGGTGTCAGCGCCCAATCGACTTGCAGGATGAGGAAAACCCCGACAGTTCGGTTTACGAGTCCTTGTCTGCAGCTGCTAGGACCTACATCCTGAGACCGCGAACTCGGTATCTTCTATCAATGTTGATGGTATCCTACGGATGTTACCTCACTCACGGCCTATGGACTTCAACAAACTCGACCTATATCTGTCCCCTTGCCCTCGGCGATTCGAAGACAATCCCGCTAATGCAAGTCTCTGCCCTAGTGCTGGATCTTTGCCTTGTCGTCATTGCCTACGAGACGATCCCAAAATCTGATGGCAGGGGTCTTTCAGGACGACGATGCATAGTCCTCTGGAGCTCAACCATGATTGCCACGTCTGTCGTCTGGTCGATTGCGGCTATATGTGTGTACATTTTCAAACCAGAGTACCGACGTTGGCTGTTGTTTGTATTTCCACCGCTGGATGTAGGCACAATCTTTGCCATGGGATATCACGTTCTTCTTTTCTGCCTTTTGTGTATATCTCTTCTACACAGTGTAAGTTGGAGTGGACTCATTCCCAGAAGCTATACTGACATTCGGCAGATTATGACTTACGGCGCATTAGACATGACAACGTATCTGACCGCTTCCATCACTATGATACCCGCTCTGGAGTTTATTTGGTCACACAGGAATCCTTTTCCTCAAATACCGTTCACGGCAACGACGGTATCCTTTTTCTTAATATTTATTGGACAATGGGCGTATCGTTGGATACAGCAGGAACTGGGCATCAGAGACGTGATGCGACCGTCGCGACAACTCCTCCTACTTGTTGTCCTCTGCGGTGCCATCTTTCCCGCCTGGCTGAAGAAAGATTACGTCCACTTCCACCCTATTGATATGCTCATGTATGACGCTACGCTTCATCATAATAAGTATCTGGAATCCGTGGGAAGTACTTCCTCCCTCGCGGAAGCCGTGGCAGGATATAAACAGAGATACAACCGAAACCCTCCTCCAGGCTTCGACACTTGGTTCGAGTACGCGAAAAACAGGTCTGTGCTGATTGTAGACGAATACGACCAGATCTATCATGATCTGCTGCCTTTTCGCGCGATCCTGCCGGTTGATCTGCGAAGCCAGACGTGGAAGATGGTATCCAACCCATGGAATGAGATTTCGGGGATTACCATCCGTGACGGAGAGGCAAAGGTCCAAGAGAACGTACTGCCAACCCATCGATGGATGCTGGAGGGGGTCGCCGTTCTCATTAACAGCTTCGCACGGTATCTGCCTGACATGGATTTGGCGTTCAACTTGAATGATGAATCTAGGGTCGCCGTGCCATATGAGCAGCTCAGCTATTTCCAAGAACAAGGCCGAGCACAGGATAAGAGTGGTAGTTCAAGTTGGTCAGCCGATCGCGCGTCAGGCTGGCTGCCAGTGCCCGAAAAGGAATATACGGAGACGATATTTCGGGACAACTCGTGGCGCAACAGCTTCCATTCCTTCGGCTCAGTAAGCTGCCCTCCTTCCTCGCTTGCACGGGCGTCGCCGCACCTTGCATCCCAGTCTCACCTCTGTGGGAGTTGCATGGCTCCACATTCTCTGGGTCAGTTCGTGGGCAATTGGTCCGATGCAGCGGACGTATGCCATCAGCCAGATCTGGCCCGACTTCACGGCTTCTACCTCTCACCTGCGGCATTCAAGACGAGCTACCAGCTCATGCCCGTCTTCTCTCAGTCAAAGCCGCACGGCTACAGCGACATCCTGTACCCTTCGGCTTGGAATTATATGGACAAAGCCGTCTATGCACCCAGCGAGCCTGAAGGGACACCCGGAGAAGAAGGCTATCACCCAGGGTTCCCTGACCCCCCGTTCGGGGAGAAAGAAAACGTTCTGTTCTGGCGTGGCGCCACCTCTGAAGGCGTCTCCTCCAACAGCGGCGCCTGGCGAGGAATGACCCGCCAACGCTTTGTGCACATGGCCAACAATCTGACCAACCAGCCCCACGACGCCACGACTGTCCTCCTTCCCAGCCCGGCAGACCATTCCAAATACCAGTATCAGACGATCCGAGGAGGCGACGTGAAGAAGCTGGGCCTGAAAACCGACATTGCCATTGTGGATTTCATCGCCCGGTGCGGCGGCAAAGACTGCACAGACCAGGAGCGAGAATTCAACCTCGTAAGACCCACGGATTTCCAAGCGCACTGGCGGTATCGGTTCCTGTTCGACCTCGACGGCGCGGGCTTCAGCGGCCGGTTCCTGCCCTTTCTCCACTCGCGCTCCCTGCCCTTCAAGACGGCGCTGTTCCGTGAATGGTACGACTCGCGCCTCACGGCCTGGCTGCACTTTGTGCCGCAGGACCTCCGCCTGCACGGCGTGTGGAGCACGCTGGCGTACTTTGGGGGTGTCAACGGGACCATGTTCGGCCACAAGATTTGGTGGAAGCCGCACGTTAAAGAGGCCGAGATGATCGCCGAGGCGGGCCGCGAGTGGGCGAGCAAAGTGCTCCGCAAGGAGGACATGGAGGCTTACTTTTTCCGCCTGTTGCTCGAGTGGGCGCGCCTGACTGACGATAATCGGGATGAATTGGGCTTTGTGCTCTGAGACGTTTTCCCTTTTGGGGCGGGGTCTTTGGCCTTTAGACCTTTGTGCGTGCGTGCGTGCGACAGGTTTCGTAGTTGCTCTCTTTTTCCTGAACATGAAAAGGAGAGAAGAAAAAAGAGAAGAGAGGGGAAGAAAAGAGAAAGAAGAATGATAAATAATAATCATTAAAATAATCATTAAAAAAGCTAGCTCGTCACTCGGCTTCTTCTCTTTCTTTTTTTGTGCCATCCCTTCCCCTCAGAATTATCTATTTGGGAGGTTCTTATACAAGGATCTCGGGGAATAGGTCGTTCAGTAGCCCTTCTATTTCGGCGGCGTCGGAGGCGTGCATGTCAATGTCCATATCCATACCCATATCCGAGTCCATGCTCATGGCCATGTCGAAGTTCATGTCCACTGGCACAGGCCCAGGTAGCATCGAGGTCGGGACACCATGCGCGAATTGCACTGCTGGAGGTGGATGTGAAGGTAGGGTTGCATGCGGTTCAGGCCCCTCCCATTGCCACTGCTGCGGCTGCGGCTGCGTCTGTCTCTGCGGTCGTAGATCGTTATACTCAAAGTCATGGTCGTAGTCACAATCGAAGAGATTGTCACTGTCGAGGAGGCCGTCGAACCACCCCTCCGCAGCGAGATCCCTCACAGGTAGTGGCGCAAGAGGTTGGGGACCCTGCACGTGAGGGTCAGTGTGAGGGTGAGAGGTGGGCATTCCCTCGACGTTTAGCATGATCGTTACCGGTGTCGTTGTGGCTGCCGTCGTTGTCGTTGTCGCTTTCGCTTCAAGAATCTGCTCCGCCATTTCCCGCGGCGTCACGCCCTGGATCTTCTTAAACACGCGCTGTAAGTGCCACTTACTCAGGCCGACCTGCGCGGACAGCTGGGCGAGGCTCAGGGGTTGGGCCTTTTCAAGCGCCGCTTGGCGCACGAGGTGTACGGCGCGTTGGATTTTGGCGTGGATGTCCTCGTTCTCGTTCTCGTTCTCGTTTTCGTCGTCGTGGCCGTCTACCGCCGCGTGGCTATGTTGTTCCCGTTCTTGTTCCTGGCCTTGCTGATCCGGCGCAGGTAACAAGACGGGGGAGACGGTCCTCGGACCAGAGAGGGATTCCGCTGCTGACGATGAATTTGGAGTCCCTTCGGACCGAGGAGATGGCGCTGACGACGGCGCCGAAGATGACGACGTCGACAACGACACCACCTCACCACCACCACCAAAGACAGACGCCTTTACCCGATTCGGCTTGCACCGCTTACAAGCCCGGAAGCCACCCCGTTCCGCCTGTGCGGCCAGGTCGAAGAACCGGACGTTTGCCCGTCGAGCCAGCCGCGCGGGGCAATCTGGGCGACAGTAGATCTTTGTAGTGACGACGGCGTA